TAAAGATTAATTTTAAAATTTTTCTTCTGTAGTCAATTGAATGTTTTCATCTCCTTCATACTAATTTGTGTTTTCGGTGGCGTCGCCGACGTACACTAATTTCAGCAGGAAAATCTGGCTCTGTCTAATGCCTTCATAAAGTTCATTAGCCAATTGCAAATATTTTCGAAACTTTCCGTTATTTCTAATGCTTTCGGAAATTTTCAATACTTAATTGATTTAGTACAACGAACTAACATTCCAAGAAACTTTTTTACGGTCATTTCATATTCATATATCTGCACCATATCTCTTTCTAACATTTACGCTTAAGCCAGTGTCAGATGGGAAAAATGTTTCCACATGCGTGGATGTGCTAACAATGATTGACCTAATTAAATAGTCTACACAAGTGCAAGAATATGTATGAAAGCAAATTTTGCACTTTTTTCGCATCTCATACAAGAACTGTTACATGCTTGATTACCTGTGTAACCACAAATGAATTGAGTACATTCCACTGTTTTATCGGAAATAATTTGTATCTGCTTCATATTTCACTTCTCTTATGCCTTTTTATTGTCTCTCTCTGTCTTGTTGATATACAAGTTCAATTTATTCTTTTATTTCTGTAACAAAGGCTTCCACTTCAGTCCTTAACACCATATCAATGACCTTATCCAGTTCTTTTACTGTCTTTCTTACTTTCCCTTCCCATGATTCGTTTCTTGATTTGATATATGATGGCTTTCTAAGAACATGTCCTATAGCAATATGCCCATGTAGTTTCACGGTAGCAGTAAGCTTTTCTAAAAAATGTTACAAATGATTTTGTATCATCATCTCTCCTTAAGCTCATCAAAAAATTTATTTAAACTAGTCCTGAATTCCCTCTCATCTAAAATCATTTTTATATGTTATCAATTTCTCATAAATTAAGCCTATCATCTTTCTCTATTAACAATCTTGGCAGCTGCTGCCCTCTTCCGACTCCTGGACACGTGCCAAGAGCATTACGTTATCTTGTGGACACCCATGACAGATAACCAAGCATTGAAATATACTGGGCAGTCACCTGTCATGAATGACTTTATATTGATTTTAAACCGACTGCCTCAGAGATTTCTTCAAAAATATTTTACACGTCACTCTCATTTTGTCTGTTTGCAAAAAAAAAAAAACGCAACTGGAACTCCGCTTCCAAACTCATCAACCTTATTAATGTATGCAAACTGGTAATTGTAACAGTTGGTCCATTCAAAGCAAATTCTGTCTGTGCCAAATTCCTTCATTTCCGCCTGCTTCTTAGTCATTGTTATTAACATATAATCTTCCTTTTAAGCTCATAATCAACAGTGTTTGAATTTTTTGAAACAATACTGAAAATTCACACCCAAAGGTTCACTCTGATATAATCAATTGAGTGTTTGTATGTACGGTATGGTTTAAATTTTTTCTTGTTCCACAAATCTTTACTGGGGACTAAAGCTTTCAGTGGTAATTTATTATTATACGATGCTTAGGTATATTACCAAATGATACACAAATTCCTTTGATTTCTCTCTGTAATTTTTATCAATCCGAATAAGTTTTTGATGTCCCAAATGCGTCTTCCAGTAGTGAACAACCACATGATCATCATTCTTAACTGTTGATACAATTCGAGAGGGACATGCTTTCCCAATCTTTCTACTATTGATAATCTTTGACAATCTGCCTGTGCATTCTCGAGAAGTATATGATCTATTATAGTTATAATACAGAATTGTACCCCCATCGCTCATTTTGTATCCTGCAGTGTCTTTAGCAACAAACCGTACACCAATCATACCTTGACATGTATTAAATAAACAAATATTACATAATCTAAAATAATCTAACTTCTCGGCTTTTTGCCTCGCTGAACCTTTTAAGTATTTCCTCATAGCTACCTGCATTTCAGCTTCAATTGACAAAACGGATAATACAGATAGTCTTTCTTGGCTCATAGTGCTTCTCAAATACGTTTTAATCAATTTTAACGTAGAGAAACTTCTCTCTGTGGAAGCTGTGCTAATTGGAACTGTGTTCATAATTCTGATTGCTATAAGCACTATTGGATATATGGCGTCCCCCGACATATAGCCAAAGTGATCATAGCAAACAGGATCATCTTTTATTATATTTTGTCTTTAAAATATTGTTCTGATCATACTATAGATATATTTCTTCTAAATTATTTTTTATTATGTATTGAAGTAACTGTTTCGCGTTTTTTACAGACTCTGGAATATTCATTTTAAATAGTTGCAGTTCTTCGTATAATTCAAATGGTTGTATGTCACTATGTTCGTTTTGTCGAAGAATTATGCCCAAGTTATTACAATGTTTGAGAAGGTCTTCTTTTGAAATAGTATTTAAATAATCGATGTCATAAATAAAACCAAATTGCTCGTAATAGTTATTAAGTGCTTTAAATCGACATTCGATGTCGACTACAATGACATTGATCATTGTATTAAAGAAATTAACTCTGTACTGCTTTTCCAAAGATTGAATGGGTTCATTTATTTGTTTTTTTCTGATTAACCTTCTTTCTTTAAAGTTTGAATCTATTTTGAACTTACTTTTTTCTACAAATAATCGAGCTTGAGTAACACTACTGTGAAAACCTGTGTTGCGAATTTGTGAATTTAGCTGCAAAATGACCGTAAAGTATCAATAGCCACTTTCAAGTTGACTTGAACTGATTCCCATAGTTTGCTTATATTGTTGATACGTAGTAAAATCTCGTACCATACGTGTATCGCAACAATAAATTCAAATCTCATTATTTTCTTCAAGACTGCGTCACAGTCGCTTAGAGTTTTCGAATCATCACTTATAGTTTGCAGCTCATTCACACATTCTATAACATCATCAAATTGCAGAAATATTGCTTTAACAGTTCCGATTCTGCTTTCCCATCGCGTGTCAGAAAGAGGTTTTAATGTCAATTTTAATTTAATTCTTACGATGTCCCAACGCTTACTTAATTTTGCAAACATACAAATATTTTATTAACAAAACTAAAAAACTTTTTATGCTGTTCCAGAAGATTTAGCGGCATCAACTAAAGTAAGTTCCAGATGTGGCATCCGCACGGCGTAAAGAATGCTCTGGGATTTATATCGAGTATTCTTGTTCTGACACCTTTATCAATACCGCCCATATTAGCGCCATTATCATGCCCATGTCCTCGACAGTTTTGAATGTCTAGTTCCATTTTTGTCTAATTCTTCTAGTATTGATTTTGTTATGTACTCTCCCGTTGTTTCTGCGACGACAATAAAACCAACAAAATGTTCCTCTATTTCTCCTGTTGAGTTACAAAATCTTAACATTATGGGCATTTGTTCAACGCGGCTGACATCCCTAGTACAATCGAGCAAGAAGGCGTAGTATTTTGCTTTTTTAACTCTGATTTCATCAACTACTGACTTAGACATTAACGCAATCAGTTCATTTTGAATGTCTTGGCTCAGATAATGTTGAGTAAGTGTTTTTTCATTAATGCGATGCATGTGTTCTCGTAGGGTCGAATCAGATTTCGATAACAACTTGAATAAATCTATAAAATTATCACTATTCCGTCTATTGCTAAATTTAAGAGATTCTTGATGGCCTCTAAATGATAAGTTGTGTACAGCTAAGTAGTTTATTACATCAATCATTCTTTCAAATAAGTTAAACCAGTACTTTTGTGAACCTTTAGTCGATTTTTCATTATCCTTATCTATTGTTTTTTCGTATTTTATTGCTTTATATAATTCCATCCATTTAATCATGCATTCCTTGTGTCCTTGACGTTGTTCATGTCTTTGTAATATTCGGCTCAAATCTTTCCAATCACAACATCCTTCCATAACTACCTGTGTCCGTAAATGTGAAAAAAGTCTGCATGGAAAGCAATAAACTTTATCTTGAAAAATGGAGTAAACTAGCCATCTTCGATGTTGCGTTTCGCCGTTACTTTTCGAGTGAAATGTGGAAAAATGTCTATTATTTGCGTCTTTTGGGTAACTTTCATCAGATATCTCTAAATTTTGATTGGGTCCGTTTTGAATTTGGTCATGACGTGGTGCATTGTTTAATGGCAATATCCACTTTTCTAGATCTATTTCTATAAAAGACTCTTTTAAATGAACTTCTTGTACATGATTTTTGAATCACACATCCTTTCAATTTCCAACTCATTATTGGGTTTGGACACTTGGATCATAGCAGATTTGTCTGATGTTCCAGGTAACGAACTTTCAGCTAAATTTTCGTTTGATGCTAGCTCTGAAACTAAAGTTTCTTCGGGTGACTGTGAAACAGTGACACCAGAAGAAGATTTCATGAGAAATTTCATAATACTGAAATTCAGAGCTTGGTTGGACATAAGTTACAGCATTTCTTTTTAATGCGCAGGATTTCCATTTCCTACCTATATTTCTGTCTCTAGATGATCCTCCAGACATGATGACTTTAATTAGAAAAATACTGAAATTAAAGCATTATCTCAAAAGAAAAGTTTATTTTCACCAATAAATTGGATTCACTCATTGTATGGTTTATCGACATTCCATGTTCTTCTTAATCGTTTGACAACAAAATTGAAACTAGTAGATTTTATTTTATCTAGAAAAATGTTTCATGAACCGAATTCGTATAAATAATCTACTTAATAATAAGATTTCAGATTTAATCAAATAAATAAAAATTTTAATTGGTTATTCTTACCCTAAAAATAAATCAATGTAATTTCCAATTGAATAATTAGATTAATTAATTTGTAATTGCAATAAATAGTTTGTTTGCAATGAACACGCAAGTGGACATGATCTGAAAGCTCGGAATATTATTCTAAAATTCAATGTATTTTTATAGATACATCACTTGTCATAGGCCCATATATAAAAGTTTCTCCAAAATAAAATTCACAATTGATTACAAAAAAATGCGCACCGGCTGATATCTTCAGGATTTTTATATGAAACGTGCACAAAAATTTTTGAATTTTTTCTGCTAACAAGAAAGGGTCTGCCAATTATCTTGCAAAATTAATCAACGCAAGTTTTTATAAAATTTCATCAAATTGTGAATACACCGACAAAAGGTAAAGGTAACATTCATACTTCTTCCAATTTAGATACAAAAATTAGAATTTTAGCTAACGTTTTCTAAGCAACGGCTCCACGATTTCCAAAATTCATGAATCGTTTGTTAACTCATTTTGAAAACTCTTTGTCTTTTGATCGCAATTAAGTAGTGAATAAATATATTGAAAATTTCGATAAAACTTGTATAATGATATTTTCGATTTTTAACAAACATATTGAAATATTATAGACCTAAAAAAGTTAATTATAAAAACTGCTTAAAATTTTTCGGCCGATTCAAAATTTCGAAATATTAACGTCTCAGTTTGCTAAATCTGATTTCCTTTTTATTAAGCCGATTATTTACATGTGTTGGGATGCTTTTGCAAGTTGCGAAATAATATAAGTATTTATGCATATTGATGTCGATAAAATCATTATGTTCAAAGTAATTATAGAAGTTGTAATTGACTTACCTTACAAACTTCAAAATATGATCCAAATCACAATTTAAAACACTTTTCACTGAAACTTCAATGTACCAACTCGATCACTTTACACAACGCACTAAAAAGAAATTTTGTCTATACGATATAATATGAAAGTGTTGATTAAATTGAAGGAAAGATTGTTTACATTATGCTCATTATGTAAACAAATCGAGGACCCATCGCCTCGCGTGCTGTTGTTTCTAAGATTTAATAATCAATGGGGTTGACAGGCAGTATTGATTGCGCAGCAATACGGGAAAAAACTGAATAATATCGAAAAATTAAATTCGAAAAAATTAAAATTTGCCATATCTTCCTCCATTTCCTTGGTGAAACCTCCTGGGTCCCATATAATTATTATGCCAGAATTTTTTTTTCTTTTTTTTTTCCCCTTATTTATTATAGACAATCAGAAATACAATTTCTATGAGTCTATGTGATCCATTAAATATGACATTTAGAGGTATCTTCCACTGAAGATATTCCCCTGGAGATAATCTATGTTAATAAAATAAATGCCAGAAATTTAGATTCCAAAGTGGTGCATATATCCTTAGTGGTTTGGAATGCATAGGACCCTGGATGGTATTAATTCCGCATTACAGTTGATTTTGCTACTAATAAATGAGTCTTGAGAATTTCTTGCATGTCTATACCATGTATCGCATTTAAAGCATTTATAATATGTCGTTCGGTCTGTTGTCTGAACTACTATAAATTGGACAGATTTTATCGACAGGTAAAATATTTTTTAAGAAATATGGCATTAAACTTCTTCTGATTTCTATAGGATCCATTTGATAGTTAAAATTAGTATTACTTAATTTAGCATTTTATAATATGAAAACTCCACAACTATGATTATCAGTTTGTTTAGAGAAAATTATTGTATACTTACTCCATTTCATTTGTTCTCCAACAGTTAATTATCGCAAAAGTTTTTAAAAACAATAGACTGTCATTTCATTGGTAATAGAATTGATTACGCTGAATTGTTTTATACTAGTATCTATTAAGACTAAAATCCAATGAGAATGGATGTTACTATTTTTATCTACTAGGCCAATACTATATTCATGCCCGCCGAGAATTTTAAATTATTCTTTAGTACATTCAAGCAATGCTAAGTAAGAATCAATAATTATATCATCTAACCACTTTTTGTCGTCCTAAAAATCAGACTGGCGCTGTATAGTTTTATTATTGTTATCCATTGCTTTTTTATTGTGTCTTGGTATCTGAATTGGCTAATTTTCCCGTAAAACATTGTTTTTCACTTTTACACCAGTTTTTAATAAAAAATATTATGAAGATTAGACTGGCGCGTATAGTTTTATTATTCTTATCCATTGCTTTTTTATTGTGTCTTGGTATCTGAATTAGCTTATTTTCCTGTAAGACATTGTTAATCACTTTTACATCAGTTTTTAATAAAGAATATTATGAAGATTAGACTAGCGCGTATAGTTTTATTATTCTTATCCATTGCTTTTTTATTGAGTCTTATTATTTGAATTGGCTTATTTACTTTCCCGTAAGAAATTGTTCATCACTTTTACACCAGTTTTTAATAAAGAATATTATCAAGATCAGACTGGCGATGTTCAGTTTTATTATTTTTATTCATTGCTTTTTTATTGTATCGTGGCATCTGCATTTGCTAATTTTCCCGTAGGACATTGTTTTTCAGTTTCACACCAGTTTTTAGTAAAGAATATTTAATATTTGGAAAAATAGCATTTAAATTATTTTTAGTGCAGCTGCAATTAAATTATTGAAGAACATTCTTTTTAGGAGTTTCTAATAGTTTTAATTTAATATTATCTACAGTGCATAGTCTATGTATGAAATTATGTAATACTTGACAACATTTATGAAATAATAAAAAAATATTGTCACTAGAACCTTCACAGAATTTCCTGTTTTTGATTTCTTCATAGAGGACCTCTATATTCGAATGAACCACAATTGTCATCACCTTTACAATTGGAAGCTGAATGACGAGATGATGAATTGTTTGTAATCAATCTTCTAAAGTAGGATATTAAAGAATAAGGATTTGGTTTCTTATTAGATCCACCTTGCCTTTTTGTTCTGCCAAAAGAGTTTTCCAAGAAATCCTGATTAAAATTTTGGGTTCGCAAATAATTAAACCCATTTATTAATCGGATTTTTTCTCAAATATGTTCCAACCTAATCAGGTTAATATCAACCACTGTAATTAAATGTGTTGTATTCAATGAAACATTTTAAGGCACATTTAGCCTATGGCAGGAAAATTATTAATTCACTTTTATCAGTATCAACTTAACAGTATCAGTCAAACCTTACGGAACTAATAAGTGACAAATTACTCAAATTTTCTTACTCAAATAAACTTTAGCTTTTTTATTTTAGATCTATATTTATTAATTGTGGTTTATTCAGGTTATCCAAAGAAACTATCGTAACGAATATGGTTTATTTAGTTGATGATAATCTATGACTGTTCTAAAGCTTGAGCAGTTAATATGATATTCAGTTGTTACGGGAGCACCCACAATTTATATTGTATTTTCGTTCTTGGATAAATTTGTAAATTAATCGACTATAACAACACATTGGGATTTGAAATGTATATTGGCTTTTTATTTTTTAATTTTTATTGCCAAAGATTAAAGTTGGTTTCATGACTTACATTTTAATGGTAATTAAATTCGAATAGTAACAATGTAATATTTTGCTGATGCCTCTTTAATAAACATCACCAGATAGGCGACAGTGAGGCGGAAAAAAATCTCTTGCTTATTCTTTTTCTTTTCCACAATAATAATATTACTACTTACTGATCATGTACGAGATACAACATAAATTTTGCAAGGGTATGTTTGCAAGTGTTAACCTGTGGAAACAACCAAGAACTATGGAGAGGAAAGACATTATAATATGTTACAAAAACATAGTCTTATACTGATCAGGATTTTTTAAATTACAGATATATTGATTTATTCTTTTGTAAATATATTGTAAACTTTCTCCAAAGTAACAACGATTACTATTATTGTTTTATTCAGTATTAATGGATTTACGTCGATATTTATTCATGAACATAAAGCCATACCCATAATCAAATGTACAGTGTTTGATCACCGCCTTATATATAAGTAATTTGTTGTGAATTGATAAATCCGATTTTCTGTTTAAGAGCCAATAATAATTTTTGAAGATTTGATTCATTTGTTGTCTTTCATTCTTTATTTGTATTTTCCTATTCAATTTTTTGTCTAAGTGAATGCCGAGATACATTATTGA